CACTATATCGTAGCGGATGGTGCGCCAATCCAAGCGATTTTGCGCCACATCTTCAGATTGACTTTGGTGAGTATAGATAATTATAAAAAAACTGCTATAAATCTTGCGTTCTGATTGGTTGGGAGCGCGTGCTTTATGAGAGCACACAGCACGGGAGCGCACTTTCAGTTGCATCATGACTAACAAAAATAAAGTCTATTGTAATTCATATTTTATAAAAGAAATAAAAAACTTGCTTGCTGTGCTGTGTTCAGTTATAAAGCTCTTGGGGATTAACAGAACACTGGAGAAGTGTTGAGAAGCACTCCGCTACGCGTCGTGATTTTCCTGACACCTCTCTCGTGTTCTGCAAACCTCCGCGCGCTTTATAACTGCACACAGCACGCGCGCGCTTTTTCTATTTCTTCAATATATATATTGCTGATATAAATTGCAACTAGCGTCATTCCAATAGACTATTGATATTTCATTTTTTGCAAGTATTGTCTATGAACGTATATCTGTATTTCCTCTTATAGAACTAAATACTACTTTTACAACATTGAAGACAAAAGGAATTACGGATAATACTGTGGGCGACTCGTACATAAAATCTTTCTATGTGAGCTATTCTAACGATACGAATGGAAACTGGACAGAGGACCAGAAGGATGGCAAGAAGCACATTGTAAGTTACTTTATGAACTACAGCAAAAATTCTTTTAAAAATCTAAATCAATTATCTGTTGACAATATAAAAAAATCTTCCTCGTAAATGAACGATGCTAAGTTTTCATAAATAATTTGCGCCAAAATCTCTAGGTTTCTCTTTCTGGCAATCCATTTAATGCTTTTGTAATACTTTTCTTGCAGTTTACCAGCGGCCGCTCTCCAACTGCCAACAACTTTACATCTTTTGTTAAAGCACGATACCTTAGAATTCATCCAATTTCTTCGTATGGTTCTCCATGTATGCAGGCAGCTGTCTATGGATGTGATTCAAGTAAGTAGTATTAACGACCTCGATATCTATTAAGGTCAACTTAGTTGACAGTATTCCCCGAAAGGAATTATGGGTCAACTATTTGGTTARCATTTTTGGAGCAGAGGCCGACGAGTACAATAGCCCAAATAATCCTAAGGGCAACAATATATGTACGAATAATGACCATGTAGTTCCACCCTCCGTTGGGGATAATCCTGTAGACGACGCCGAAAGAATAATGGATGTAATATTGAAAGGTAACTAGAGTTTGAGGAACTATATTAATCATGTTTGCCGGAATACTATGGCAGAAATTGTCACAAAGGTAAGAGTTACGAAAATAATCATATGTGTTTTTCACATTTGCATGATAGCATCTAGTATAGATAGAAGTCAACCCTTTTAAGAATTGCAGGCTCTAACAATTAGCAATTGATGAAGTCACTGTATTTGGTGGCGATAATACTTCCTATCCGAATATCAGGAAAAATCTTTAACCAGATCTTTAAGGGTTATTAAAATTCGGACGATTTACGTGCTAGTCCCCCTTTAAAAGGTAGAATTAAATGAAGAATTCCCTAGTGATTGACTAAATGATATTTTTTAGAAATAAAGTATCCCTATATTGGAGTGGCTTTTCCTAAGTGGGACAACTACTGCATCAAAGCACGTACGACAGTACGACATGTCTCAATGTTGAAGTGTGAAACTTTTGTTTTGTATGGATTGTTGAATCGCAGTTGTTATGGTTACGGTATCAAACAATAATGCAACAAATTTACTTTGTATTTGCTACGTACTCGTTATAAATTGCGCATGCAAGCGCTCATGGTTGTTTCTGGTCGATACAGGAGTAAAACTTATATTTGTATTCAAAATTGCAGTTTATTGCGAAGTGAACCCATGCAAGAATGGTGGAACTTGCTTTCAAAACGCTTGTTTCTGTAAAAGTGCATTCTTTGGGAGCTACTGCGAGAATGCTGTTGGTAAGAAAAGACTACCTCTACTTCCCTTTTTCTAATCTAAGATAATGTAAGTGTTTATCTAATAAAAATGGATGGCACAATATTCTCTGAGCAACTGGTAAGCTCCATAAAAATGAGGTATTTTTGGTCATGTGATGTGCAATAAATGGTTTGTAAATTAAAGCTGATCTTAAGGAAATTAATATGGCAATCATGAGTGAATAATTGATCTTTTTTTCATTATTTGGTTGTTCTTTCTATTTGTTTACGATAATGGTCGCCACATTTTCCTTGGGATCTCTATTTCAAATGAATTATTGCGACAAGCACGATCAGCTGAATGTATACATTATCTTTCTTTGGAACGTTATAACTTCAAAGAAAGAAATGACATTATAGATTTGAACCACTCAAAAAGAAGGCATCTAATTGAGTTGGGATTTTTAGACATTTATGCCCATTCGTATCGGTAAGTAAAGCATATATATATTTACGTATTTATGCATGTTTTAAATTCTGCATCTCATTGTATATCTTGCATCTCATTAGATATTTGTATAACTATATACTACAACCTTCCTGCAATCATGTGTATATATATGCGGTTTGCATAAACTTTGACTCTTTTGTGTATACATATACAAGTATATCAAAAGTATACCAAAATTTATGGGATATCATCCCTGATATTTTTTTGAGTTGTCCATCTCAAGGGATTTCTGAAAAAAATATTAGGGAAGATATCCATAATTTTTGACGAAATAATGACTTCATTCATCTACGATCACGATGGAGTGTTACAATATAATGTATTTAATCCATTTTTTAAATTTGTTTTACATTTTTGTGAGCTATTTTATGCTAATCATATCATTTCCAGTAGCATTTGAATCTACCTCCCTCCCTCCCTCCATTCCTCCCTCCTTCCCTCCATTGAACCTACCTCCCTCCCTACATCCCTACCTATCTACCTCCCTACCTATCTACCTATCTACCTACCTACCTACCTACCTATCTACCTGCCTACCTACCCACCTACC